CTAGAAATCAAAAATCTCTAGTTCAGCTACTTTTTGCAAAAATTATTCCAACTGGCTCTTACTAATAGAAAAATATAACGTCCAAGACCGCCAAGAGAAACTTTCAATGATTCTTCGTCGGATTCAAATCTCTATGTGGTTGAGAAATCTTTCCGAAACATGAACAACGACATCATTCGGTTCGAAGTGAGCTCACGATATCTAATTAGGTCTGGTTCCGATAGTCGAGTGACGCACTAGTTGGCCTAGATGATGTCGCGTAATCCGGCAGAAAGCATTATATGAACTTCCACACCAGCAAATTCCAAAACTAGATGATTTAAAAATGTCCCATACTGATAGTGAAACCGCCACACTGGAAGTAGGTGACATGAAGCCCTCTGTTGTATCGTTCTCGTCCGCTGATCATCGGCGAACGACTACAATGAACAGGTTTATTCCCGCGAGAGCGTCACTTGAGTTATATCAACGTTTCGTCTAAGTCCGAGCTGAAAGGAAGTAGTTCCCAGCGATCTTCCAGCCTTGAAAAAGCTTATTCACAATACGGCAAATCTCTGTATGAATCACAGATAATGAGAACCTTCTGAAGTGACAAACTGTGAGTGTAATGGAACGTGTGTTTTTTCATACAATGGAGGAATCTGTTCGTATAGGGGCATTATTGATCAAAGTTCGGGGAAAACTTTACAAAAAATGATGATGCCATTCTTTCTCTCTGCTGGGCAAACACGTACAGTACAGAAAATCAGTTCTAGTCCCATAATTTCTTGGAGAGAACCAACGAAACGACAAGCTGATGATGGTTCAGCGATCGTTTCAGAAAAATTTTATCGCCCTGATATTCCTTTTGGAGAAGAGAAATTTTACATCTCAGTGGATTCTCCGTATTCGATTTCTTTACTCTTCTTCAGCGATTCCCGTTGGTTAATGGAAGCTCTGGAAGCTATAGGAACATTACAGCCCGTGAGTCTTTGTCTTCTTGTTGAGTTACAGTCAGACCCAAGTAAGCGGCAAGGAGCAATTCTTATCAACAAGTTAATGCATTTCGCTGTTACAATGACCTAGTGTAATCCTCATAAATAAGGTTTTGAAGTCTAGTCATCGTTGATGTCATTGACTCATAAACTTGAAAAATCCTTGCACGTGGTAGGATCAGGCCACTTTTTGACTGTCTGGATTACGCGGCGAAAGTTGTAATGTAGTTATCAACGCATTCACGACAGAATGAGAATGGCAGTTTTATCCGATAGCTAAAGCACTTGAGGACTGAGAACTTCAGCTTAACAGAATTTCATCATGGTAGAGAATTTACCGTATGTATCGATACAACGTTATACAGTGTTTCGAAATTATTATTCTCATTTGAAACTTAGCTAAGATTCAGATTTTTAAAGTAAAGTCAAATTAGGAGGAAACTGAACGCAAATCCGGTTGCAGCAAGTGTTAACTATGCACTCGATAATATCAACGGTTCTTGCTGAATGAAACCCCGTTTGTACAACCCCGTCCCTACTCAAAACCAAGCCACGACGTAACCAAAAGAAGTGAATAGGGGAGAATTTGTGTGCTCAAGAGTTGAAGTTCATTGCGGTGTGATAATAAGGCTGGTATCTTGTTGGCAAAAATCTTTAGACTCTAGTTGCTTTAGTTTCATTTAGTAAAGTTCACATTAATCTGAGATATACGAACTTAATCTTCAAAGGCTACATTATAACCAGCGAAGTACGCATTTAGACCAACGCGCATTGTTGCGAACAAGGCGTAAAAGCGTTCTAAATTCATAATACCTAAATGATTCACTAGGCATTTGACTTCAAGCATCATAGGGGTGATTCACTGCATACAGCGCCTATACAATGACTTGCGGACGCATTCCGGTGTAGCAAACCTGAATGATAATAATGTTAGATAGCTCTGTTTTTGTCCACCCAGACAAGTCTAGTACCAACGCTCCAACCCAAGAAGGATGGAGGGCTTACTGAGATCTAGTGGGGTATCTACTATAATCAGTCACCGAGCTTGCGGGGCACCGATAACCGCTGAGCTGCACGCGTGCGCCAGTATTACTATGAATTAGTGCAACAGTATAATACTGAGATAATGCTATTGCATATATTAATGTTACTGATAAGTTTATGAACAGGAGCTATTCTACTGGGAATGTGAACTGAAGGCGAAGTTCGCAGGCAAAGTGCAGTGTTCCTAAATCAAAGCAGCCGTACTCACATGATTCCGGGCTCACTCTAGTCGAATCATTTTTAGTTCACACATTGGTATTGCTAGCCACCTCTGCAACCGATTCCCATTATTTTTAGTGTATAACCTTATTTGATTATTTAGTTGTTGCAAGATTTTCAAGAAAAAAGGAAACACATAGGATGGTCCTGATCTACGACAATAGCTGTCCATTTTCGTTACACTATTCACATTTCGTAGGACGATTGCCTTCGTTGGAATTTGGATATCCGATTTATATTTCATATATGTACTTTATTCACATTTACAGTCATCGTTGTATCTTAGTGCTGGCTAGTCAGTGTTTTTACGACGTTCCAGGTTGTTAATAGTCTAGGTTAACTACTAGTATTTCTAGGCCAAGATGAGGAGAAGGTGTAGGATTAATAGCGCAATGAAGTCGGCGATAAAAAAACGTTTGAAGAGGAAACTTAAGAAAAAGCCTTCTATTGGGTAGGTTCATATTTCGCTCCGAAACACGAGAAAACATCTGCGAGCTGAGATTGTACAGTGGAACCCACGTTTCAATTATGTAAATGTGTAGGCAAACATTCGTGAAAATTTGCATTTCTTTATGGCGATAGGCTAAATGGGTAAGGAAAAAGCACGTCAACCTACTCCAGACAGCTCAACAATTATTACGAGTCAAAATGTGCCTTTTACTGGGATTTCGTTCCCATTATTCTAACGTTTACATGCTAACGTAGATGGGAACATAACCCATTATCGGACGTTTTTTTCCTCTTGTTCTTTCTTTTATACGAAAAGTTTGCACAATGCGGACATAGTGACCCCGATCTCCACCACGGGTAGTTAATGTTCTTTTATTTATTACGAACAGATTACTACGGTACTACTATGCCATTTAACAAGTTTTCGCCATCTGTTATTGATGTTTTTCACAACCCACTTCCGTTTGATCAGGCGATTTCACAGACAATCACTTTCGCTTGTTTATCCATCGGTTTCACATTCACACATTCATAGTGGCCAATTCACGGAACAAACTGCATTATGATTTGGTTTCCTGATGGGAAAACCACTGTCAAGTAGGAATGGAAAACACTTGATGCGAAGAGAAGACTGAGCTAAACAATCCCTAGAATACGAACAGAGTTCAGCTCGGACTTTCTAACATTTCTCGAATCATTTCTATAACAACTCGTACGTCCAGAGGACAATACAGTTTGTCAGACGTCTAAACGACGTTATCACCTTACTATTTATCGTTAAATGCTACCAGTAAAATGCAAACAACGCTGTTTTACTTTATATCTCCTAGAAATCACTATCTCCATATCACAGTAGTCTGCCTATATCCGCTATGTAGTCTTGTGGAATCGGCTTAAAGCGCTTCATATCACTTGGTCTGAACAGAACAGATTGAAGGAATTTCCATGATCCAAGATTTAACTAACTTAAAAGTACTGTAGCGAAAACTGATGTAAACGTAAATTATCGAGAATTTCCTTGTAGCTTCTAATACTTGTTGTTCTTTTTTGGTGAACGGAGTAAAAAGTTAAAAGGTCTCTGCGTTGATCAATCGCTGTGGGATGCGTCATGCATTCGGCTTCATTAAGCATCGTTGGAGGTCACTGAATGCATATCTGGCCTTTACAATGACTTGCGGTGGTCTATCAATGTATCGAGTCAGTGCTGCTATTCTCCCAAACAAGTCTGAATAACAATTTGCTCACCCCGGAGAGATGGAAGGCTCGGTGAGCCTTTAACTCTTGAACCCAGAGGTCGATCTCATGTGTATTGCAGGCGTCTCCGACCACTGCGCTATACGCACCCTTTGGAGGACGAGGTACCGATGAGTAGTCAGACGACCTGGTATGTCTTGAAAGTTATTCTCTAAAAAACTAACTTCAATTGAAAATAATACGAGTTAGCATCTCACAGAATGCGAAAAGTATGCAGACGATAGCTGGCAATGACGTAATTTCCTTTCTTGTAGACCATTCTGAGGATTCTTGACTGGATAGGGGCATTATGGTAGTGCAAGAACTGTTTGTATCGTCTAGTTTAACTCTGAAAGCTCATTCTTCATTCCAGTTCACGCATTTTTGTCGGAGGACTACTCTGTCCCCTTTTGCAATTAACACTTCGACTACAACCGGTCCTACAAGGAAATCTTTTACTGCTACTATTTAGTATACATTCACATGCTGATCATGTGATTCCAATTCAGCATATTCAGCAAGTCCTGACTCTTTGTCAACGGAAAATTACGAAACAAACACTCTTATCCACTAGATTGTACGTGGCACTTCATTACGCATTGAAGAAAGCAAGGAATTATAAGAACATCATGTACCTCTCATGACTCCAACGCTTTATCTATAGTGTAACCACATCCCAGTGTCAAAAGGGTACGGTGGTGAATCTCCCCCTGATCCTCAACGATGGCGACAGTCTGGGTGGGGTGGTGACAACCTGAGAAGGGCTTCGGGACCCAACACTCCAGGGAACCAGGATGGCTAAACCAGCAAATATAAATTGTACCCGCACAATCATTGAACACGGACCACCCAAGTGTCCAAGCAACTGTCCACGTGCAACCACACCAGTAAGCAACCATGGACACGCTGGCCGCGTCGGTCCCGCCGCGGTCCGCCTGAGGCCGCGCGCGGCGGCGGCCACGGTGGGCGGAGCCAGCGGCGGTGCGGCCGGCCGGGAGCGCGATGACGCTGGTGTGGCGAGACTCTTTCCGCCGAGAGTCGGTGGTCGTTGACGCGCAGATCAACCCCTTCACCTCCGCGATGCCCCACAACTCGACGTCTTCTTCGTTTCTGGGACGTTTGTCAGCTCGTTCCAGCTTTATCTCCCCGAAAGACGTTAAGGTTGTCGTCCAGCTTCTCAATGACTCCGACTCCATCTCCAATGAATTCAAGGTACTTTCGTGTATGTCTTTTTATAAGTCAAATCTATGTTCTGTATTCTAAAAGATCTAGGCCTTATATTCTACACCTGGAATCACTGCATGGCTGTTTCGTTTGACGTTTATCTCGCTTGTGTCTGTTTTTTCCTCTCGAAACGTTCTGAACATCTGCAACATCACGAATCCAGAAGTCCAATAAAGTCTAATAGAGCACATTAACGAGTTAACGAGGTTGTATCGTCCCATTAAGATGGAACTTATTTAAGCATCAGATTCCTTATTCTTTTTTTCTTTCCTTTTTTCATTCCTCTTCTCAACTTTCATTGGTAAAGGATGCACTGGCTTATTTTCCCGTTCTGCATCTGGCCTAGGGATCTCTAGCGTGTGTTCATCGACACTTATTGTAATGACATCCTTGTCAGGGTGTTTTTCAGTTGTGTAAGACTGGACGATATGCATTCTTTCCTCTCGTGACGCATCCTTCCATCATGTTTTCTTCTTCTTTCTTTCACGACACTGGAAGGACTATTCGAATGTTTTGTTGACATATTCGTTCCGTATCGTGGCAATGAAACTCTCGTCGATATGTTTGTGCAGTTGAAGGGACCTGTGAATCGAATCGGCCGCGCGTCGAAACGAAAGCGAACACTTCTAATCGATTCTCGGCGATTCCATAGTAGTACCGCCAGTAACTTGTCCCAGTGAAAACATCCATGTTCTGGTGTTCAGCTTATTCAGAACTCTCTTAGCGCCTTTCTTCGGCAAAAGGTCTTCATTGGACCAAAAATCTTTCTCCGCCCTTCGAGTTTTTCGCAAGAGAACGGCGCTGCTTGTCGTTGAGTTAGCGCATGCAGTGGAAATGAAGTAAGGAGAACACTAGTATTGTAATGCTCATGTCAGAACTTCGTGACTAGCATTAGGATGATCGAAAAACTTTTTAACACAATGTAGTCACTTTTTACTAAACATGACTGAGAGACAGGCGAAACGATGGACCCGCATGGTGTGGTTGTGATAACGTCAGCCACCGGAAAGGATAGTAGCGTGTTCATTACCCACCGCAGACACCTATGGTCCGGAGTTTTGTAAATATCTCACCATCGTTGTTGTTGTTTCAATATATTTTTTCTCGACAGATGGTTATTATCAATCCATACATGTAGATTCTACTTTTCTGGATAGATTTCATATAGGTTGTGGATATTACTGTTCATATTGCTTATGGCAGATACTTTTAAGAGATCACAACCTGCACAAGCGATATTGGACTACATATGTGAACTCAGGAACATTAGAGAGAAGGACTATCTTGGACTTCGTTATCAGGACCACGGCAAGCATCGCGTACGTGGTTGTCCTTCTTTCCCTCATTTGCCTCAAAGCAATCTGATTTTCTTCTGTTTCAGTACTGGGTCGATTTGTCGCGGCCAATCGCTTATATAGCGAAGCAGTTCAAGTGTAATTTTTGATTTGTTAATGGTTATGATCCTCTGGAACAATTTCAAAAGTGTCAGTTTCTTCCTTCGGGGTTTACGAGTTCTGTTACAGCTGATTCACTCGCACTTCGTCTGCGCTTCCGTTATTACCCGGTCGAACCGTCGCATTTAAGAGAGAGTGTGAGCAGGTCAGTGTTTACATTGCGGTTTTCTAAGTGTTGTTTTCTCTATCGCTTATTTTATCTTAAATAGTTTTTATTCCATGAAGTGGTGAATTTCGTGTGTTTTTTTGATTCTTACTGGACATTCTTCAAAATTTTTCCTGTGTTGTTTCGTCTGTTTTTATTTGAATTGATTGATGTCCTTAATTGCGCAATTCTTTTGAGCCAGCGATAACTTGCTTTCTATTCTTGTGGGTGATTGGTGCTTAACGTGCTGCCTGTACGACTGTTAAGCTCAAATGCTTTTGTCGTCAATGGCTTTGCTCTGTTAAAAGCATACAAGTTTTTAAAGTCTAGGAAAATAGTAGCCTTCTGTTTCGTTCCTACAATGGGTAATTCTGATTCATTAGATATATTATGCTTGGAGCAGTGTTATTGCTGTTTTTATAGCAATTTTACACAGTAGTTTTCCTTCGTTTTGGTTGCTTTTGCTGCTTTATAGTGACCTGAGTTACCTGTAGCCCATATGGATTACTGTGTTTGATTTTCGGACACAAAGGCTTAACATTGATTACCAGCACTAAAATAATCTTCTTGAATCACTGTGAAACCGGATTGTTTATCAGTATGAGCTGTATTTTTGAGACTTTTTTCTCTTTTTATTCCTATTGCATGGTATGAAAGTTTGCCTCTACGCTTAAGGGAAAGGGAAAGAAGGTAAGACAAAGAAGTCTCGTGAAGCTCAGAATTTTTTTTTACGTTGTCTGTATTTGTGATCCCAACCTTATTTAATCCATATGAAAACTCTGGCAAGAGGAAATTGCTGAATATTTGTTATTGTAAATTGCGTTAATCTTGGAGCTATGAGAAACTAGTTTCACACAGATTTGGTCACCTACCTAATAGTTGTATGTGACTCGACTCCAGTGTCGACTTCTTAGGGTTAGACTTAGTGTTGGCTTTCTATCGAGACAAATTTCATTTTGCGCTCACTCGATGTCGTGAACTATTTTCGAACCCGCATAGACACAGGAACGACCACAAATTAGGACAACGACGGTAATGGAAGACATTCCATGACTTCCTTATATTTTGCACGAATGGATTGGAAAGATCGATGGCGTGTGAACAGATAGTTTTTTTTTTTACCAGAAGCGATTCGTTGCGATGTATATCTGCAAAAAGGAATCAACCAGTGCAGAATCTCCACTAAAATTCAAGTAGTCCTTTTTGTTTCTATCTCATCGCATCGAATATAGGTTCTCGTTCGTGGTGTAACAATGTTTACAGACAGTTGTCGTTTTCTACTGCTTTAAATAACTATGGGTGTCAGGGGATGGATAACGCAGTGATGATGCCGATCACCAGAGGCATGGTCTGGTTCGGCCCTGCTGCAGACGAAACAACCTCTTCATAACTTCGAAGTCGGGGAATTGGTACCATACTTATGTGAGAAAACTCCATTCTCTGCAATCTAAGGGGGAATATTCTGGGCCAGTATCTCAAGTTTTCAAAGAAAAATCGTCTCGACCAGAATCCAATGACATTCGTTATGAAAGGAAAATCCTGAAGCAGTTGAACCAATATGCAAAAGTGGGAAGATCTTTGTGGATGATGGATGCGAGGAAACGAAGGATCCATACAGTAGATGGGGAAGTCGTGTTGTGTAAAATAATAACTGAATAGCTATGGGTGTCATTTTATAAAATGATTCATCGCTTTCATATCGATCCTCGCCTAAAATGTGTGGATCACTCATTATGATGTCGTGTAGCATTAGTTCTGGCCACATTTGTTGAGACTCTTAAGAGTGGTTATTTAAAAAAGTACTGAACTAATTGTTTACTGAATTGCTACAACAGGTAGCATAGCACAGTGGTAGTGATGTCCTTTATAACGAGCCGGGTGCTAGTTCGATTCCGCTCCTGGTCAACCAAGCCTCTCATCTCTCCGGGGTTGGGAACTTGATGGCGAACTTGTCTGAGAAAAAAAATCACTATTTGCAATACAATTGGGAGCGCTCCAACCCTGCTGTCTCAGGACTCCAGGGAGAATTGCTCGACCAGCATTGTACGACATTCAAGACGAAAGGGAAACACTCAAGCAGCAACCGAAACCACACGTAAACGTTGGAAGGTCTTCGTGGACAGTGGATGCGAAGAAACGAATCGAATGTAAGATGTGCTGGGATCCGCACAGTATACGTGAAGTTGGACCATATAAAATAAAAAAGTATAACAGACAATGCAACGTTTTCGTCTTTCTGCCACTGCAGTAATACTGGCAAAGCATGACGAACTGAAAGAGGAGGTATTCTGTCGATTTGAAGTGCCCTCAGTCTTGTTTTCACCTTGATAAGGTATTAGTCTGGAACCCTAGAATTTTTCGGCAGTTAAGTTTATCATTTGGTCGTTTTCGTGTGGTTACAATTACAAACCTGCATTACTCACAGTGTATAACTCCTCGAGTAAATATATTAGCTTCATTACATACGTGGGCGAAAAAATGCGAGGGTCAACATCGAGCAAATGTGTCAACTTAGTGAACGAACACTATTATTAAAATTAATTAGCGCCGGAACTATTTCAGTCCACAGACTGTTTCTGAAAAATAGGATTTTTTACTGAACAGCGACAGAATTTTGGTCTTTGGGGCTTGTGAGGGGTTTTTTCCTTTTTTTTTTAAATGTCCGTATTTACAATGCTGGTTCGATTGAACTGTAGACATTTTGTGTGATAGGACACGACGGCGCTTCTAAATTAATCGTTGACGTTTACGGTGTTAATTTAAGATCACATCTCCTGTTTCGTTCTTCTTAAAATTCATCTGTGAGGCTTGAAATCCCAAAGTTCCAAAGCACCTCTCTTATCGGGGAATTATCGGCCGTCTTTGCGAAACAGGGGCAATAAGAATGTAATCTAACATATGCTCGTTGTTAATTGGCTTGAAGATATTCTGTGAAAATATCTTAATTTATCCTGTGGAAGTGTTATCTTTGAAAGGATGTAAGGATAAAGGATAAAGCTTTCGGCGTTGATCAATCCCTGAGAGTTACACCATGCACTCGACTTCATTAAATATCATTGGAGGTGATTGAATGCACATCTGGCCTTTACAGTGACTTGCAGTGACCTACCGATGTATCGAGCCAGTGCTGCTGTGCTCCCAGACAAGTCTGGTACCAATTTGCTGACCCCGGAGGGATGGAAGGCTTGATGGGCCATGAGAGAGAGGATCGATTCCACGTGTGTCGCAGTGGCGCCTCCAACCACTTTATCTTTGAAAAGGATTTCAAAATATCTTTCGCATCTACAACTGCATTCATTTGCATTTTCGAATGGGTTAAATTTTTTAAATTGCGCTTGTTTTGTTGCTAAGTGGATAGTTTAACTTTTGGTTGTTTTTATAGGTAGTACAGATCACTTTCTTTAGTTAATTGGTCATCTATTCATTTTTCTGACGTCATGTCTCATTGCAGACAGTTTATATATTGTTGACTGTGAAAGAAGACCTAGTTTCTTGATAAAATTCAAATCTTTTAAAAGAGTGTGTTACTGAGAATCTGCACTCGTACGGTGTCGTTCCTTGCAGGTACCAACTGTTTATGCAGCTGCAACGCGATCTGTTGCATGGTCGTCTCTATTGTCTGCAGAGCCAGGCTGCCGAGCTGGCTGCTCTGATTTTGCAGAGTACTGGTTTTTAAAGCAATACTGAACTTTTACTATCTTTTACTATCGATAAAGTGGAATTCTGACGTTTTCAGCTCAACTCGGTGACTACAATGAAGCGGTGCATAAGGGGAACTATGTATCTCAGTACAAACTATTGCTTAAGCAAACACCATACTTGGAAGAACGTATCGCTGAAATCCACAAATCTTTGCGGTAGGTCTTAAATACTCGTGTTTAGTAAGAATCAGTAATACGTTATTAAGACAATTTATGAGGATTTTATTGAATCTGAAATTTATCTAAACTTGTCGATATTTTCCAAAATTGAAGTTTACGGGGAAAAGTGTGCATGAGCATTTACTCCATTAAAAAGAAGCCTTACAATCATCTGAAAAGGATTTTGCACGTCTAACCCCATAGTGAGGAATTAATTATATCCTGTTGAAATACTGGATGCTTTAACCGTTTTATGGTGAATAAGCTTTCGAAAATGTGAAATTTGGATCTTTGAAAGTGTTACCTTTCTCAATTTCTGGTAGTTATGTTCTTCGTTTAGAGGTAAGGCGACTCCCGTTGCGGAATTGGAATTTCTGGAAAAAGCAAGCCGTTTAGACACATATGGTTTTGACCCATATACAGTCAAGGTGGGTTTAGTTTTGTTTCTTTTTCAGTTTAAGAAAATCGCTCTAAGGAATAAAAATTGATGTCGCTTATCTGTCTTCAGGATCCCAAGGACAGTTCGCATGCTGTTTATTTGGGTGTGTCACACAAAGGAATTTTAATTTTCCATGGAAGTCAGAAATTACACCACATTCCATGGCAAGAATATCTCTGTCGTTCATTTTTTGAAAATTGGAGCTGAAAGTGTCTTTTTATATTCTTAAAACTTCACTCAGCATCTTGAACCTTCAGAACCTGATCCATTCATTTCATTTAGGTCTTATTTGTCAAAAGTGGATTACACTGGGAAAGAGCTGCACATATATCCAATAGAGGCATACGTCCCACCGATCAGCAATGGTTCTAGCGATGGAAAAACTGATGCCAACCAAACGAGAGTAAGCATACCAACATCAATTCAGTATTTGAACCGTCCCACACGAAATATCGTAGATATTTTACCTGTTTTCCAATTTTGTTTCTGTTAGGATCGAAAATCCCGCCTTGTGCTGAAGTACCACTGTCCATCTAGTATGTTTGCCAAACACCTCTGGAATCATATTTTAAGCCAACAAGCATTCTTCAACGAACAGAGCGTGCTAATGATTAAACCAAAGTTTTCAAAGTAAGTTGGTTTCAGAATATTGTCAGCATTTCGTTTTATACTGTGGCACATTCTACTATAAGTTAGTGAATTCCTGCGATTTTTTTTTTGGTTTTTGCTATAATTGTAACAGCGTCCCCAACGCTTTACCGCCCCATTGGGCTGCGATGTACAGTGGGTGATTCATCCTCCGGCAAGGTCTCCCAAGCTGAGAAGGAGTCCGACGATTCCATCAAGAAGCCCAGCTAAGAGTAAAACGATACCAGGATGCACCATTGTCTTAGTATCAAACTAGTCGCATGGTGGCAAATCTCCCTCAGATCCACAAGACCGGCGACTGCGCGTGGTGGTGTCGACCAGCGATCGACTGGCCGGACTGGCCTCGGGTCTCCAGGGAAGCACAATGGCTAGACCAGCAAAACTCCGAAAAACGGAGAATGTGCTAGGGCCCTCATTGTTGTGCGGGTCGTCCAAGTATCCAGGCAAGTATTGTAACAGCGTAATATTTCCCAGCTTTATTGTTATTGCGTAGCAGCGGTTGAATCTGTAAGGAATTTGTTTGGAATTCAGAGAGCTCAGATCAAACTATGTTTCCTGTGAGTTTGTTTGCTGTCTTTCCGATTGAAGTGAACGATAAGATAAGCTATGTTTTTGTCTGACCATATTTAGACCACGAATACCACTACTTTCGCGAGGGTCAACGTTCCGTTTTCCTTCCCGTCGAGTTCTACGTGAGATCGAAAATACTGACATTCTAATGGAGAACGAGCATGTCGCTAACGGGTTAGGCTTGTAACCATCCTCTTACATTATATCTGTAGAGAGCAATTTTTTATATTTGTTCTTTTTTTTCTAAAAAATAAATTAAGAATCGGTTGGACTTAGACTGCACGAAATTTTCTGGATGCTTCCTCATTTCTGACTTATAAGTCATTTCTTCTTTATGTTCTTAAAACTCTTTTGCAGGGGGTTTTTGTGAAAATTTTATACTTTGGTCTTATAACTGACCTTCCATTTTTTTCTATGACAGTTAGATCACTTTAAGTGGTTGTTTCAGATATTTATAGACGTTCGACAGCGTTATTTGTCTCTGTGGTTATTGCTTAGTAGATATAATTTGTAGACACTATACGTTCACAAATGTTTAAATGTGTAACTATGAACTGGCTGAATTTTCAAATGAGTGATATCTGTAAATTCTACTGTATTTTAGTGCAGCGTTTGTACGTTTTGAATTGCCCCGTCAAGAGCCAAGAGGTGATCAACCGTGGTTGAACAAGTACCATACCATGCCAAACATGAGAACGAACAACAACAATAACGAACATCTTAATATTAATCAAAATTCTGTTGAGGATCCGATAGGTGAGAAAGTAGGAAGCAGTAAATTCCAACGATAAGGTTTCTGCATTATGTCATCAGCTGATATTGCAGTTAAGAACACATTCTTTCAAAGTGACGCAGAACCAACACTTACGGTTATACAGTCAGTACCTTCGACATCAACGGGAACGAACGAAGCATCAAACAATGCTAAGAATGAACTCAAGCCACAAGACATCACTGAAATCCAAAACAGCAATGTCGTAAGTTGTGTTTTATCCTATGCCCAAGTTTGCTTTATAAAGCTGCTTCGCCTGTGACAGCGGAAGAATCTTGTTACGAGCTGGATAATATGCCAGCGATAAATTCAATACTTGTCTTCTGTTTATTTTCATTTGTCACACCTCAAGGTTTCGAAAAATAAGTAGGACTTACATATTGCATACACTTTTGTTGCATTAAAGCTTTCCATTGGGAACTGTTGGATCTGCGCCATAAGAACTACCCTCCGTTTACATAGAAAAAATTTTAAAAAGCTCTTGGCGTTGATCAATGATCTCTGATGGATGCGCCATGCATTCGACTTCATTAAGCATCGTTTGAAGGTGATTGAATTCATATCTGGCTTTTGAAATGACTCGCAGTGGCCTAGCGATGTATCGAGCCAGTGCTGCTATCCTCCCAGACAAGTTTGGTACCAATTTTCCGACCACGAAGGGATGGAAGGTTTGATAAGTCTGAACCGCGGGTTTCGATCCCATATGTGTGTCGCAGGGCGCCTTCGACCACTGCGCCACACGCGTCCATTTGCGTTTACGTACTGCCGGAAATTATCTTGTGATGAGATTTAGTGATGAGCATAAAGGCTCTTACCGTATAATGAAAATACTTTTTCTACGAGAAATTCTCAAGTTTATTGTTTTCGTTGTTTACTTAACCCTTCGTAAACCTTTGGAATTTCACCTTTTTCCAACCGTGCAAGAATAGTGAAAAAATGTCGTTTGTAATCGGCACGGTCAGTATTTCTCATAGACGAAATTTAACACATACGTGATGGCAACCAATTTTCGATGGAGGCCAAATGGGAAGATGTCTGTTTTACTACGCACGGTCTGAACTCAAGTCAATGCACACCGGCCAAAAGTGCCTCTCCCCAGAACGTTGTCATCAAGTGTCTTCGTCGTTAGTAACAGTCCTCTGTGTTATTAAATATGTCCTTCATCTACCTCACGTAATTTTGTTCATATTTTTCGATCCCACAGAGGTTCCAGAGGTTTCTCTTACGGCTTGAGTTGATGTGTGCATGCTCTTGTAGTTATTTGTCTTCTAAATCTTTCTTACTACTTATAGCACTTGTGGAGACTAATACTTTGTAATTTGTATGTTTTTCATTATGAAAAAAGTTTCTGGAAATGACTTTTCACAATGTCAAATGGTTTACTTCCCAGCAGCTTTTGCTCAGTTTCATTCTTGGGGATTATTTCAGACATCGTTCACCGTGCGTTTGGTCAAGTTCGAGCGCAGTCCAACTGCATCGGTATGACATATTTCGTTTATACTAAGATAGGTATTCTCAAATTTTGCTTCTATTGCCGAAATCTGTTGAACCAATGCTTAGGAAACTTGATATGCCATACCTTTCTGTGTATAATAGCACATTAAACGTTGTGCGCCTACTGATTTGCTAATTTTGCATAGTTGTGAATGTCTAGGTGCTTGTAGTGCTTGTAGTTACGTGTTTATTTCCAGCATCTTTCCACTTTCGGCATGCTGCCTCCTGCTATGTAAAAAGTAGTTTTTCCTTTTATGTTCAGAAAACTTGCTTAGTAGTGTCGATGTTCTTAGTTTTCTTTCAAATGGCGTGAATTTATGATTTTAGAGGGATTGTTTCATTTTTTACCGATGAGTAGACTGTTGCTGTCCTTGAATCGAGTTACTTACTTATTGGAATTAGCAAACTCCGAGTCTATTGCTCATTGGTCAGCTGGCAACGTTGAAATGCTATTACTCACCCGGTTTAAATACAGCATTACCAATTGAAGCGGAAGCTATTAGAATCTACACATTTTTTGAAAAGCGGCTGTCACCTTTTTTACCCGTAATCCCGTTGATCGTCGAGTGACTCCAGCGGGCGCCAGTAAATCTTCCATTTTTCCCTGTCGCGTGGAAGAGTAACCCAGTGGGTTCTGCTCGCTCTAGCGACTCGTCATCCATCGCTTCTTTCTTCTAAGCTCTTTGTGAAGAACTCTGACCATCGGATCGGTGGTCATCCTACAGTACGTTTGACATCCCGACGAATCCAGTCACTAACAGCTCTTGTCCATCGGTTGTCATTCATACGCATAACATGTCCGGCTCGCCTTATCTTCGACTGTTTGGCGTGCAGAACGGCATTTTTGACTTTTGATCGTTGACGCAGGTCTGAAAGAGAGAACTGGTGGTACAACATATCCATCCTCCTTTATTTCATATGACGAGAGGTGGACGTGGCTATCGAAGAGATCCGAGTAGTACTCGTGAATGATTTTCTCCATTGCGTTTCTGGACGCTGTAGCGGTTCCGTCTGAGCGCCGGAGAGCAATCGTTTTGGTCTTGTAATTGGCGAAGCTTCGGTGGGTTTTGCGAATGCTTTTCCCAGTCTCTGCAGCTCCGACCATTACTGCTGCTCTTCTCTCTGTAAGATCTTCTTTCATGGCCTGTTTGCATTGTTTTGCAAACTCGGACGTTAGTTTGCAGTTGCCTGCAGCTCGTGCGATTCCGCGCTGCCACGTCAGCTCAAGTGTTTCTAGAGACAGACGTCTTCTGGCGATCTTCGAACTCTCAGCTTTCATAGCGCTAGCGTGAAGATGTTAAATGAGCCGATCGTATTCTTCGTCGATGTTATATACAACGGCATCTTTCCAACAGCTGACTAATTAATTGAATAAGTCCCAGTTTGCTGTGGTTCTAAGACTTCGGTTTGGAATTTAGCAGCTTTTTCTCCTTTCCGCGAGAAATAGAATCTTGCACGAAGGACACGATGGTCTGATCCCGTGTAGAATTTTGGGACAACAGCGATACATCGATTAGGCAAAACGTTCTCTTTAATATAATGTGGTCTATTTCGTTGTGGTAGCCTCCTTTGGGAGATTCGCACATCCATCGCTGAGCGTGGGGCTTCTGGAATTGCGAGTTACCAAGCGGCTATAAGTTTATTTATTATAGTGGCTTAAATCTTAACTCTTTTATTTACTGCCTTTTTCTTCTTAATGGCAGGGTATGTTTCGAATTATAACTCGTATGAAATGCTGAGATATTTGCAAAACTCCGGACCACAGGTGTATGCAATGGGGAACGAACGCGCGCTGTTGTCCTTACCGGGAGCAGCGCAATTCACCACTACACCATCCGGGTCCGGATGGGTCCTACGCGTGAAAATTTGGTAATTGGTAAGTGACCGATCGGTTTCATGCCTGACAGCGTAGTTTTGGAAGTGTTCAGGCTTATTCAACATTACAAGGATGCAGAGATTTAAACAAAACTCAGAACCTTAGATGGGTTTCAAATCCGCACTTATAAAAGAGAATTGGCCATAAGAAAGGCAAAGCAAGACTTCAGTCAGTGTGGTGGATAGCACGTGAACCACGAAAAGATTAGCTGCAGCTTCGAATCCCAGCTGAGGTTCAGAGTTTTTCAAGTATCTGAGCATCTGTGTGGTTGCTTTCCACATCATACCCTGTCGTGAGGCGTGGTATAATATGGAAAGTGGTGCTCTGAGGCGCCTGTGGCGCAGAAGTCAGAGGCGCCCTGCATTGCACTTGGGATTCATTCCCGCGCCCTTGGCTTACCAAGCTTTCCATCCCTCCAGGGTCAGAACATTGTTACCATATTTGTTTGGGAGGATAGCAGCACTAGCTCGATAAATCAGTAGGCCACAACGAGTCATTGTAAAGGTCAGATGTGCATTCAATCAGTTCCCAACGATGCTTAATGAAGTCTAATCCATGGCGCATGTCCAGTGCTGGTCAATGCCAAGAGCTTTATTTATTTATCCTTGCGGTGAAAAAAAAGAATAGGCAGTGAGTACAAGTTGAAACGTTATTGGATATCAGTTCCTTTGTGTATTTGAACTTTGCCGAACAATAGGCTTTGTTAACCTGTGTTAATGACTTTGGTTACGCCGTCACTGACATTGTTTTGTATTGGGTGGTTTCTCTTTAGAATTAGCATATGGTCACTGTAACCTTTTTTTGGTGCAAGTTTGTTTTTGGAAAACGTTTAGAAGTGTTGTCTCGGTTCAATCACTGAGGTCATCGTTATCGGTTCCCGTATAGGATGCACTTTTCTTCATCGAACACCGTAAATCATAAAACGATCGAGAAATTGGTTATTTTTTTCTACGCAACAGAAGCGTGGAAAAACTTGACGATGGTTTTTATTCTCATTCTATGTTCATAGTTAGTTTATCTACATTCCTCATCTTTCAAGTGTTTTTGAAATGATGGGCGGTTGTTGATTGGTTTTCGTTAAGTTCTTTGAAGTAGTTTTTAGACTAAAATCTTCGATTATCGGATTCAGATGATCATCGTCAACTATTTATGGGAACCCACGACCTTCCTTACCAAGAGTCTTATCTCTTCGGTACAAAACCTTTCGAACGACTGCGCAGTGCTTTCAGAAGCGCTTCTCTGGGCTCGTACATGAGTGATATCTCAGGCCTTTTTTCATTTAGTTGTCCTAATTTGATTTCATGAAGCAAGACGATGCGATTTCTTTGCCTTGAGTGCATTACTTCAACTGGCCTGAAGTTATTGTGAACTTATTATTAGGAAAAGTATTGCTCGGAAACCAGAGAAGAGAGAGAATCCATAGAGAAACCAGAGCAGCTTACAAAATGTGTTTATAAAATTCGTAACTCATTCATTACTATGCTGGTTTTTTAAGTTTTCAGTAATTCCTTGATAACGTTAATAAGTAATTCCTTGATAGTCGTGTTGGGGGTTTGAAGACTTGGCAGTCGTATAGAAAAGGTTCTTATTTAGCTCAAACACTGTAACTGTATAGAATAACGTCGCACAGAAGCACAGTGTGGATCCCA